TATATATGATAAGTTAAATAATAATACAAATGATGAAATAAAATAAAAAGATAAGATATATATTCTAAAAAGAAAAAGATAATAATAAAAATAAATAAAATTCATTGCTAAACCATTTCTGAAGTATTTTTGAATCATTATTAAATTATTTATAAATTATTATTGATTTTGAGACTAATTATTCATTGATAATCTTAAAATATTACAAAAATATTACAAGAATATTATAAAAATATTGCAAGAATATTACAAAAATATTACACAAAAATATTATAAGAATATTGCAAGAATATTATTAAATTATAATTGAATCTATAACTGATATACTAATTTTATTATTCAAAATTATATATCTTTTAAAAATTGATTAATTAATCAAATTTTTCAAGTTTAAAAAATTATGAAATTAAAGAAATTTATATTATTATGATAATAATGATTAAAAATATAAGAAGTAAATAAAAATATAATCTCATATATAAAAAATATTTGCATATTATTCAGAAAAATTAATTTTATATATATATACTCAAATACTTACTATATAAACTAATTTATAAAAAACTTAAAATCTAAGATTATCTTTTATGTTAATAAATTTAATTCTAATAATTTAAATATAGTAATCATTAAAGTAATTAATACTAAATCTAGCTATAGATAAATATATCAGAATCTTATGAATTTTATATTTTTTATATTATAATCAATCACTTATTTGTGTAGTGCAATAGATATAATGCAGTATATAATACAACTACAGTATATGACATAGTAATTATTAATCATTACTAAATCAGATAAATAAGTAATTTTTATTAATTAATCTTATTTATAATTAATTCTATTTTTAATTCATATTATTATCTATATTTAGTCTTATTTAAATATTAATTTAGTCATGTGTATCACATCTAATTTATAGTTTTATTAAATTAATAATTTCTTAATTAATTATTATTAATTTTCTTTTATTTCTCACTTTAGCTTTGAATAACTTAATGTTTTGCTAATTTTAAATTCTTTATTATCATATATTTAATATTCCTTATAATTATTCTTTTGAAATTTTACTTGTTCTTGATTAAATTAAGTGAAATATCATGTTAGAAATAATTTGTAACTTTTCTTGATATAATTGGGTGATTATGATATAATAAGTCATGTATGATATAGTATGTGGTACAGTAATAATTTGTAAAATAAAATATAATATTATTTTAATTTTATTATAATACTCTCTCTCTTAAAAATTAATATCCTTATTGATATTTTGATTTAAAAGATTTTACAAGTTCCATAGTATTATAAAGATTTTTCAAGAGTTTTCAGATAAAATCATGAAGAAAATAATCTAGCTATTTAACTAGGTATTGAGATTTATTTTGAATGATTCTTTTATCTAAGATTGCTTTTACTTTATATTTTTCTTTATCAGTTTCAGATATGATAATAGGTTGTGATGGAATTGGATGAATAAAATTTTCATTATCATTAGGATTATATAATTTTAATAATGAAATATGAAAGACAGTGTGAATTCTTATATGTGAAGGTAAATCCAGTTTATATATAATAGATAAAATAACTTTAAAAATAGAAAAGAAACTAATATATTTAGGTGTAAGCTTTTTACTAAGGTATTATTTATTCATGAGATCAATAATATTACAAGTTAAAAGTAAGACTTGATCTTTAATTTTAAATTCTTGATAATGATAATGTTGATTAGCATATTTAAATTAATGATCCTGTGCTTTCATTAATAAGTCTTTAGCATTTTTAATTATATTATTCTAATATTAAATGAATTTATCAATGATAATAACTTTATTATCTGCGATGAGTATTATAGATATAATTAGATATTGATTATAGTCTAATTTAAAAGATATGTAATCAAAAGAAGCTTAAATTAAATTATTATATATGAATTCAGTAATATTATATAAACATAGTTTGAATTTTTATATTTTTAAAACAATATAATTTTAATATTTATCAATTATAAAAAAACTTAATTTGTATAAATCATTAGTATTTATATATAATATAATTAATTTTTCATTTATTTACATTAATAAGATATTTAAATATTAGTATTTAATCAAATTCTAATTTATAAAAAGTTCAGTTTCAAAATAATAATAGTTTTATTAGCAGAACTAATCTCTTTTATTAATAAATATTATTATAATTCTTAAATTTTTAAAGTTATTCTAAGAAAAATTACAATGTATTTTGAGAAATTTCTAATTTATTAACAAGCATTTTGACTTTTTTGATAAATATTATATTACTTAATATTATTTAATACAAATTCGTGCATGCTCAAGTTCTGAATAAGAAACTGATTATATTTGAACTCATTGGACTAAGTTATTTTTTAGAATATGAAAAATAATGCTTTTATTAATACTAATCTTTAATTCGATTAATATATTGAGTCTGAATCTTTTGTTGTTATTGCAAAGATCTCACTTTTGGATTTTGATAAAAGTGATTCTTTTGAGAGATATTTTTAAAATCAAATAGTTGATTTCAATATTACAATAATAAAACATTTATTTAAATAAAAAGTTATATTGTAATAATAAAGCTTGGCAGTGTGAATTACATTATATGTTTCATCAGGTTAAGTTTCTCATTCCTCTTTTCTTAATTTGAATACATAATTATAATTTTCCTCTCCAGATATTTTACTTTTTTTCTTATTTGTTTATTATTAGCGTTATTTCCCGTAAATATAAATGTCATATATCATCAAATTTGATATTTTAATGTCAAAGTGAAGATATTCATTCACATGCAAATTAAATATATTGTATAAATTAAACTATTGATAACTTTCCAATGCAATATTATTTTACGAGAAATATTTTTACCTTTGAGAACCGGAAACATAACAATTTCTGATTGGTCGTAGTTATATGATCACCACGTGCATGCATTTATAGAGTATTCCGACTCTAGAACGTGTAGAACTTAAAGGGTGTGCACTTATTTCTGAGTTCCAAGCATTTATAGAGGGTGCACTTATGGAGATATTACTGCCATAAATTTGCATTAAAAATTTAGATTTCGATTTTCACAATATCGAAAAAAACCCCATTTTTGGATAATTGAAACGCATTTTGAGTTTTTGAGCATTTTTGCATTTCTGGTCAGGTGAAAGAACTAAACCAAAGGTGTGAGAAAAAACATTCTTGTAACACCATAATCATTTTTGCTCGGTTCAGGACACACTTTCACACCTGGTTAATTCACAGATGCCATTACAAGTAAAAGAGAAGTTGACACTCTCAGCTGACTCGCCTGAAAAGCGAGTCATTGAATTGAACTTGACGTCTGAAGTGATAAAGTTACTTCAAAAGTCACAAAACGATGGCAAAAATTTGATGGTGAAATTCAATCCTAATAAACAGACGTCTTTGGTAAGCTTGGGGAGTGGCAAGGGTAGTTGTTATTCGGTTTATTTGTGAGTGATTTAAATATTTATTCATTTTAGAAATAATTTTCGATTAATCATTTTGAATTTTTTGTTTTCATGTTCTAAAGGTGATCCACGCTGGTGAGAACAAATACGAATGTATATCTGAAAACAAACCAGCGAGTGCAGTGTATAAGGTGTATCAACAACGCTCATCATCAGAACTGGGGCTGGTGGGTGAAATTACGAGTGAGGCGACATTAAAGAAATTACAGGATGAGAAGAAATTTCTGGCAGCAAGGGAGAAGATGAGGAAATCGCAAATCGCGATTAAAGAGCAGAAAGAGAAGAAAAGGTAAAATGAGTTGTATAGTGATTTTTTAAGGTGATCAGTTATATTTCATAGAGATCGATGTCAATTGTATCTAGTTTTGGATTTAATGTTTTTTAGAGTCAAAAGGCTTGATGAAGCACCAATGAAAGCTGGTTCTAACAAAAACTCAAGAGCACCGACCCTTACAAAATCAACAACTACGATTAAGATGAATACAACCAATAATAACGTTAATAACGTCAAGACAAGTACAAGAGAGACAAAATCAACCAATTCGATAGTGTCTTCATCATCTACAACAAAAGGAGGAGGCGCGAATAATGCAAACATCGAAAAGACAGCTGCGAAACCAAATACTCCTACTTCTACCCGGAAATCGGGTCAAACAATTATACAATCTTCCAAATCATCTGCATCCGAAACACGAAACAGTACTAATCAACCAAGCCAGTCATTAATCGAAGACGAAGAAGAAGAAACTGGCGGTGTTCCATTAAAAACGCGAATCATACAGCTGTTGGCGTGGAATGATCTTCCGTTGGCTGAGGTGGTAAAGAAGACACAAGAAAATAAGGATCGGGTATTGAAAGTATTAAAGACGGTAATTTCCAATATCATGCTATTGTTTATTTTATTTTTTTCGTTTTTAAATCTATGAATTTACGTTTGGATTAGTTTGCGCAACAAGTAGGACAGAATTGGAGACTCAAGGACGAATCATATAAAGAAGTCAAGGTATACGAGTGGACAAGTTATGCGAATGCTGAGATAAGAAGGATCGTTGAGAGAGCTACCAAAGCGTTTACTGCGTTAAAGCTCCCAAAAGACGCACCAGAATGGAAAAAATTAAGGCCTCCTGTGGAGACAAAACGGAAGAGGCCAACACCGAATAGCATTGCAACATTACCTGCGACATCATCATCATTACGAAATGAACCTCCAGAGGTGCCTGCAACCAAAAAGCGTAAGACTACACAAGCTGCGGCGCCATCAGCATCCGCTGCAATAACTCCCGCTACAACTCGAAGCTCGCGTGCTCGAAAAACAGCAAGAAAACCAGAACCAGTGGTCAAAAAAAGTCCAGTACCGTTAACAGTAACCTCTTCCTCTTCGTCATCTTCCACTCAGACCAAAAAACCCGCGGTTAGAAAGACCAAAAGTCAATCAGGCGCTGAAGAGATACCTAACGTAATTTCACCAAGCAGCACATCAACAGTTAATGCAAGTGGCAGTAGAAAATCAATATCACCTTCTTCGGCATCTACTTCCACATCAACCTCCAATAACGGGGCAGAGTTTACATTTACACGTATTACTAACGTTAAGCAATTCAGGGATTTAGAAACGGTCTTCAAAAATAAATACAATCGCTACGCTCAGCTCTTTGCTGAATTAGAAAAGGCTCATAGGGAGAACGAACAATTAAACGCCGAATATTCAAGCTGTAAAGATCCGGAAGAAAAGGCGCGGATCACTCGAAAAATTGCTGCACAATTTGGGGATACAGGCGAGGTTTCTTTGAAGATGCGCGAATACACGACAATTCAAGACAATTTAAAAGCTATCAAGGCTGAATTGTACCGCGCGTATGATGAAGAAGGGATACTTGAAGCAACAGATATGGATGTAGACGAAAGGGGAGATGACAGCGTCGATGAAGAAATTGAAATGTAATATAAAGTCGCATTCAACAACAAAAACAATATTGCATTTATTATTTGCATAATATCTGCACGATTTAATATTTTATTACTTCCGAAATATTTCATTTCATTTTTTATTTTTCTTAGTAAAAAAAATCTCAAGGAATGTGGAAAGGTGTACTTTATATTCATACATGTATATAATCATTATAATATTTCGTAGTCACCTTTTCATAATTCTCTTATATGTATAATGGATAAGTTGTTCTTAACTGATTAAAATGTATTAATTCGTGATCTGCGAGCTTCAATTCTCAGTGCCTTTATGTCTAACGGAAAACGCAAAGGGGACAGATAAAAAATCAGAGCAGGCCTAGAAGCCGTCAGAATTGGAGGTGGAATTGATAGGTCACTTTTGCCAATCACCTCCTGAACCTTCTTAAACTCGGTTCGGAATCTCGAGTGATAAGGTTTTCTCGACGCACACCGCATTATACTTTGGGTCGTCATGGCTTTTCAGGATGGAATCAAAAAGTTATTCCGTTAGTATGCATCGATCAGTACCCTGGATATCGGCAATGTATTATTGTTATAAGTCTGATTCACTTCGATATGAATTAGCTCTGTATAGTACTCCTCCCCTGTAAAAATTCAAACCTTAATTTAGCCTCAAGGCTTGTAAATTATTAACTAAGGTTTTTAAGAAATTACATTATTTACTTGCGAAACAAATAAGGTTTAAATTTTTTACAGGGGAGGCTTTAGCGTCTTTCCTCGTCGAAAGATCTCACTTTCCTACATCGGTTTCACTAATCAGTTTCTCCTGCTATATATAACTTTTTAAACAAATTTTTATATAATAAAATATTTGCATTTTTGAACTTTAAATTTTGCTAAAATTTGAATATATATTTAATAATGCTCTCCCATAGTATGAATTCTTAAAACTGCAAATTCATAATGATAATATCTAAAAATCACAAATTTTATTTTTCAAAAACAATTAATTTTATTCTTTATATGTATATTTATATTTTTGCACTAGGTTATATTATATAGTAAATTTCCTTTTTTATAATATTTCTTATAATAATATTTAATATAAGCTTTTATTATTAATTAATAAAACTTTTTTCTTAGTTTATAAATATAAAATTATTATATAATTATTTATATATTATAATTAATAATTCTTGAAAAAAATGTATAATTAAAAAAGAAAAATAAAGTTGATAATTAATAAAAGAATCTTTAAAATTTTAATATTAATAATCAAATAAAATATTGAATAGATTTTATAATAAATTTAATAAATTTTAATTATAAAAACTTTAAGATAATTAGTAATAAATACTAATTTAAAAAATATTATAATGCAAAAAGTTATAATTCAAAAATAAAATCAATTATTTTAAGATCTATTAGTATATTAAAAAAAGAAAATTTAAAAAATTAAATTAGTAATATTATTTTTTGTAATATACTTTATTAAATTACTGTTAAATTTTAAAAAATTACTTTTATAAAAAGTTATAAGATTTTAAAAATTATTATTCTTTATATAATTAAATTAAAATTAAAATAAATTATATATTATATAAAAATAATTTTATTAGTTAATTTTACATAAATAATCTGATTAGTTAATTTAAGTAATATTTTATTCATTAATTATATTTAATATATAATATAAATATATAATATTAAATTAATTATAATTTTATATTAAAATATTATTATTTACAAAATGAAAAAAGTAAAATAATAATATAAATAAAAAGAAAAGTTATTATATATATTAAAAGAAAAATAAAAAAATCAAATTCTTATAAAGAATAATATTGATATTATTATTAATATTAATAAAAAATAAAAAATAAAAATTTAAAAGAATTTGAAAAAATAAATAAAAAACTTGTTAATAAAATTTTTTATTAATATAAATTTATAGATAATTTTAAATTAATATATATAATATATTTTTTAATTAGTTTTTAAAAATATATCTAATTTTATTTATTATTATTATTTTATTTTTACTATTATTTTTATTATTACTTTATTTTTTTATTATTATTATTATTTTCTTATTAAATATTATAAATTTACATATTTATTTAAAAAAACTTATTAAAAAATTAATAAAATCAAATGATAAAATCTTTATAAATAATAATTTATGTTTTTTAAATATTTATTAATTTATATAATTATTATTAAATAAATAAAATAAAATAAATATAAATTATTAATTTATTTAAATTATATAAAATAAAAAAAGTTATATAATTATATATTTAAATATAAAAAAGTTATTTTATATATAAAAAATTATTTATTTATTATTAAAAAAAATATATAAAGCTTAAAATTTTAAGAATTTTACTTAAAATTATAAGATATAATTATAATAATAAAATTTAAAATATATTATATATTATTTAAAAAAATATATTAAAAATATTTTGTTTTTAAAATAGATAAATTATATTAAGAAGAATAATATCTTTATAAAAATATATGAAAATTATATATATTTATATAAATATAAATATAATAAAAAATATTTATTATAATATATATAAATAATTTAATATAATAATATATAAAAATAATAATTAAAAAAAATATTCAAATATAAATTAAAAATAAAAAATTTTAATATTATATTAAATATTATTATAAAATTTTTATTTAAATTAAAAAATTATATAAATAATATTATTATAATATAAATTTTTTATATATATTTTATTAATATTAATTATTTTATACTCATATTTTTATTAGATAATTATTTAATTATATTTTATTAGATAATAATTAAGATAATATTATTAATAAATATTTTTAAATAATTTTACAAGTAGAATATTTATAAT